CTGCTTTTCCTCTGAATGTTTGCGTGTCTCCTTACCTTCTGGCTACTAATATCCTTGGAGGGCACATTACATTTTTGCATCTAGGGCAGATCTGGTATATGGTTGGTAGTGAATAAACAGTTTTGAATGAATGATCGATTGTCCCACCAGTTTTAATAAGCTTTAAAAAATAATGGTGTAGAGAGATAAAGACTCCTGTATCAGAGACCTATGAAAATATAATTGGCACATTTAATTATCTTTGCCCCAAGTACATGAATTTGTGCTTCTGTCTGCTTGTAGAAAGTCACTTTTGTGTGGTTTTGTTTAATAGTAAAACCATAATCTTCTTTATTATAGTACTGTTGCTGATACATTAGTAACAGCCCAAACATCAATTTCTTTTTCAGGCATGGAGGCTTATAATTCAAGAACCTACAAAAATAGCATACCTAGGCAGCTGCAAATCATGCTGTTAGATTAAAGGTAGCTTAAGCAGGTTTCTTCCAGCCTTCGGCCTTCGTCTATATTGATATATTCTTGTGTCGCAAGCAACTCTGTCTTCCACTCCTTTTGTATTGTTCATACAATACCTTAAGTGATGAGCCAGGGTGAGCCCCCAACCCTGGTTAAGGAAATTAATTGCATATGGCAATTTTTCTAGCTTTAATCTTAGACATGAGAGAGGATTATTGTTTTGCTTCCTTTTCATGGTTGAAGTTATTTAGTACAAGGACTTTGCCTTGGCAGGTGAGAACAATAAAAAGAAAAATCATTACGTTAACCCAATAGAATGGTAATGACTGAGTTTGTCACACAATAACTAAATGACTTTTTCTGTTTGTATGTTTGTGGATCTGTGTTGCAGAAAGCATCATGAGTTTGGGGTTCACCTACCCTCCTCTTCAATGAAGGAGTTAAAACAAGAGGTTCTCAGATAGGCTAAAAAATATAGTTAGGGGTGCCTGGGTGGCTCAGTTGGTTAGGCACCCGAATCTTGCCTCATGAGATTGAGTACTATCAGTGCAGAGCCCTACTTGGGATTCTCTTTCTTCCTCTCTCTCTCTGCCCCTCCCACACCCAGGCACATGCTCTCTCTCTCTCTCTCTCTCTCTCTCTCTCTAAATATAAATAAATAAACTTAAAAAATATATACTTAAAGCCATTACTGACTTTAAAATAATTTATTAATCAATTGATCATTGTACCAGGTTTATTTTAATAAACAACTGTCGACCTATTATAGTAAGTCATTACATAAATATTCTCTATTATATTGTAACTTAAAGAGAAAAACCATAGACACTCTCACATTAAGTGATGCTAGGCAGGTTTGATAGTGGGGGCATAGAGTGAGAGCTACAGCTACATTTCCTTTGTTTGCAAAAAAAACCCACATTCATTAATTACAAATATAGATATAAATTATTTTAAGGGGCTAGTTTAAAAGTATTGTAGATATTCGGGGCACCTGGGTGGCTTAGTCGGTTAAGCGTCCGACTTTCGCTTGGGTCATGATCTCGCGGTTTGTGGGTTCGAGCCCCGCGTCGGGCTCTGTGCTGACTGCCAGCTCAGAGCCTGGAGCCTGTTTCAGTCTGTGACTCCCTCTCTCTCTGACCCTCCCCTGCTCACGCTGTCTCTCTCTCCTAGAAATAAAAAAAAAAAAAAAGTATTGTAGATATTCATTAAGTAAAAAAAGACTAATTCTTTGAATGCTCTGTTGCCTCAGGAAAAGGATATCATTTTGACAATTTGTCAATATATTGAGACTATACACATGACAATGAAAAATTATCTTAATGAAAGTGATTGCTTGATAAAATATTTTTTGAGGGTGAGTATATAAAAAGTTTATAGTCTGAAAACTTATGAAATATCTTGAGAACTTGGTACATTAATAAGTAGACAAACTTATCTGCAATTTAAAAACTGCCAGAGAAAAGATCTCTTAATTGAAATATAAGCATGCCCTACTGAATTTTGATAACTAAGTTTCCATATATTTAACGTAGTTAATATATGTTAATTTAACTAAGTTAAAATAATTAACTTAGTTTCATATATAAAACTTCCATATATTTTTATATATGAAATATAAACAGAATATGTGTTTAATATATGTAGGCACTTAAAATCCTCAACAAAATCAAATAATTTTAAATTATGCATCCTATTAAAAGTAAGTGGCCCATTGATAATTATAATGTGTTTTTGTTAAACTATTTTTACTTAAACTGATCTTGTTTTTTTGTTTTTCTTCCTTTGACAGGTCCTTCAGATTGGAAGGAATATCTTTATTTGGAGGCATGTCAGCTCATTTTTCCTCACTTCAGAATCATCAATATGACTTCTTGAGGCCAGATCTAATTTTGAAGTAACCAGGAACCTGTCCATCTTTGAGCAGCAAACCCTTCAACTTTGGAGCACAAAAGATCACTGATATGGTCTGCAAAAAATCATCAGCCTCTAGTCTGACAGCCATGAGCAGAGCCCTAGGGGCAAAAAAAAAAAAAAATAGCCACAGCCTTAACTATGTTTGCTCTGAAATTATCAAGATGATTTTAAAAAAAAATGAAAGAGACTAAACAAACAAGGCAACAACAACATCACTAACAACAAAAAAACAAACACATCCTATTTTCTTTCACCTTGGAAAAAATATTCCCAGATATGAGCCGGAGAAAATTTACATTCAGCAACTAAGCTAGAAAATTATAAATTGACTTATCATTTGGGAAGGTGAAAGTATAGAGATAGGAGGTATCTCTAGCTAGAATTATTTAGCATTTTAAAACAAGTAACCAAAACAATGAACAGAGGAGCATGTCAGCCAGGAACGGTATTAGGAGAGAATGTTGCTGTTTGCAGAGAGGATGTCTGCCATCTTGTATTGCACTCGCAAAGCCATAATGGAATAACTGCACAGTCGTTGATTGCTTGAAAAGTTTCTGCATTCAGTCCTTCACCACATATTAGTTAAGAGAGGGGGAAGGCCAGTTCTTACTGATCACTTCTCAATGCACTTCTAATATTTGCACTGTCACGTCCATTCAGGGTAATGATGTGTGCTGTTATTTGCACTGATGGTCCCATGAGTTTTGAGACCACAAGCGGTTACATGCACGAGTCAGAAAAGGAAACATTTCAAAATTCTCCAGACATTGGTTTCTCTTTCTTCTGTAAAAATCAGTTATCTTATTAAGAAAATGGACTTGTCTCAGATTAAAAAACAACTACAGAATAATAATGAAAAAGCATCAATGTGGTCAAATGAATGAAGACGGGATCAAAACTTTGTTTTTGTTTTTGTTTTTTAGTGAAGATTATTTTTATCATAAGCAGCCAAGAAGTCAAATACAGTGAACTATACACTAAACATTTGTGTTGAACATCTATTTGTTCTCTTAATTAAAGAAATCATTTGTAATTTGTATTTGACATATAACAGTTTTTTATAGCCATTTATCTATGCTTCATGGGAAAATGTACCAAACAGCATTTTCAGTTTATTTTTCTAAATAAATGTGTTGTTTGTATTATTTGTAGTTGTTTATTCAGTTTGGTTTTCATTACCTGACAAGTAGGTTACCTGTGGTTAATTGGAAAGCTTTTGTCATATTAAGAACTCATGGAAGACTCACATTTAAAATATTTATATGGCATAAAATTGTGCTTTCTATTTCCTAAACCCTGAAGAAGAAATGATTTATTTTTCACCATGACTTTCTTGTCAAACATTATGTTAATATTCTAGTTAGACTAACTACCCAGAGTTGCTTTTAATAGATGGGGACACTGCTGGTGTCCAAACAAGAAAGTTTGGGTATTATATCAGTAAGGATTTTCCCTAAGTACTCTTTCTAGAAATCTGCTCCAAAAGATGAATATTAGATAGATTTAAAGACCGTTATTCATGCCTAAGGGGTCCTCATTAATGCCCCCCTCCCCCAAGAGGGGGGCTGAGAACTTTCATAAGTGCATGTAAAAAGGACTGACTAGGCAATCGTACTGGAGCAAAAAAAGAAATTGTGCCTCAGAAGGACTCAGTAAGTACCTTCGCAGTGTTCATCCTCACTTGAGGCTCATCCTGTAGAATCATTGTTTACAATCCTTGCTACCTCCAATAAGTAACACACAGCTCAAACAAATTATATTTTTCATTGAGGTATAATTGATACATTAGTTTCAGGTGTGCCATGTAAAAATTCAATGTTTGTGTGTGTGTTGCAAAATGACCGCAGTCAGTTCTGTTAACATCCATCACCATGCACAGCTACAATTTCATTTTCCTGGGGTGGGAACTTTCAAGATCCACTCTGGTAGCTACTTTCAAATAGGCAACATAGTATTAATAACTATAGTTAAGGTCACTCTGGAATGCCGCTGAGGGAATGCAAAAATAGTGCCGGCCCTCTGAGGTCTCTGGAAAGGAAGACAATGAGCCCTTAGACGTTTGTTTCATTAGAAGCCTGCCTCTCAGGCAGTAGCTTTGGAGGTAAAATGAAAAGCCTGACGCTCAGGCTGTAACAATTCAGGTAAGCTAATGGGTTCCTTTCATGGAAACAAGCAGCTACTGGGCCTGTCGCTTTCTGCTGTCCCTGGGGTGGGAGCTAGTTAAGAACACTCTCCACTGATTGCAGTTGTGTGGAACCCATACGCGTCAGTCCCACTGGCCACCAGAGCCATGCAGGGGCGTCCACAAAAATTGGGCAGCAGCCGAGGTCTAAGCTCCTTTCTGCAATATACAGGCGAGCAGGCGCAAGGCAGAGGGAGGGTGAGAAGATGGCATCCGCTGGCCTCTGTTTCCTGAGAGATCTGCAGCCTTTAGATGTGTGTCACAACAGAAGCCTGTCCCTCAGGCCAAAGCTCAAGACAAGCAAATAGGCCTCTGTCTCAGAAAGACTCGGGTCTGTTGCAGGATATCAACACGGTGCCCTGGAGTTGGTAGGCTACCAAAAAGGTTCTCGCTCATTGCTGCAATCTCGCGAGACCCAGGAACGCACGAAGCCTTGCCCTCCAGGGCCGGGCGGTCGAGAGCCGGTCGTTGGGAAACACCGGGCACCAGACGTGTGTAAAAGCAGCTCTGTGGGAGATACACACGCTTTGGTATGTGGCAGAGAAAATGTGTATAGGTGGTGGTAGAGGAAACGTGTATTTCTTTTCTGTGAAAAAGAAAGAAAAAAGGCCTGGCATTCAGTTAAGGGGGGGGAAATGGCGCCTGCCAGCTGCAGTGAGGCGGACGGCGGGAGGGCGGGAGACAGTGCCCGCCAGCCAGCAGCCTCGAGGTGTGTCCCGGGTTACCTGCCTGACCTGGGGGCTGAGACTATAACATCAGTAAGTGCGCCAAAGCCTCACAAAGTTGGGAGCTTCTGGATTGGCTGCCTCTGCGCTGAAACCTGGGGCGGGGGGGTCCTTGTTGGAGAGCCGTTCCTCAGTTTTTGTTTCAGTCTGGTGGACGTTTGGTTTCCAAAGCTAGATTTTTGGGGAGTGTGTGTGTGGCGGGGGGGGGGAGTGTTTCTTCCAGTGTGGGTGCCCACTGTGGGGTTCAGGCTCTTCACTCCTCGGGGAGAAGTGCGGTCCCCTCCTGACTGGGTCACCCTGCAGGGGGCTGGGGGGTCGTGGCGGGTGTGTGCCCCAGCCTCTCTTCACCTGCTGCCGTGCGGACCTTGTGGCCTGAACCTTGTTGTGTAAGAGTTGCTCGGTTTGCAAGTTTTGTCCCAGGAAGTTGTTCCCTCTGTGGCTTCAGATTCGGTAGGGCAGTGGAAGGAGGTGAGCCTGGTCTCCTGCCGTGTCACCATCTTGAACTGGAACTACCAACAACCCAAGATAATCTATTTTTGATAATTAACAGACTCGGTCATTCGGTTTATCCCCGAACTACGATACGAAACCACTTCCCATTTTGTTCTGCACACTTTAATTGATTGACTGTCGGCAGTCTCTCCTGCTAGTACTTAAAGTATCCCGTAACATCATGAAGAAAATTAGCTTGCCATGCATGATTTGGACCCTTGAAAATGAAGACGTTTTACGTGAAAATAATCCAGCTGGGAATCAAATTGACGGTTCCTGTGAGATGTTGTTAGGCATTGGAGTATGGATGCCTGGACTCATTCAAATTCTTTTAAAAACAGACAAAAAAAATCTATGCTGATGGCTTCAAGCTGTGCATTATTTTAAATCATCAATAGGAAAGTCAACTCCTCCCCCCAAACATCTCAAAGTAAAATCCATCAAAAATAAGTGGTAAAAATCATAAGTCTATTTGATGAATATACTCAACAGTTAGCAGCCCTGTATCTGTGATAGTCTATGGTGAGCCCTTAAAGGGCTTTGGAAAGATGCGACATTATGAAGTCAGCGCTTGGGCAAGATAACACCACTAGCGATGGATAAAGTGAATTAGGGCACCTGGGTGGCTCGCCAGGTTAAATGGACAACTCATGATTTCAGTTTAGGTCATAATCTTGGGTTGTGAGTTTGAACCCAGTATCAGGCCCTGTACTCGCAGTGTGGACCCTGCTTGGGATTCTCTCCACCCCCCCACCCACCCCCCGCCTGCCCCTCTCATGCACTCTTTCCCAGAATGAATATAAAAACTTAAAAAAAAATGAACTAGAATGAGGCTGTGATGTGGGTGGGGGTGAGGAATACAGATCCAGGGGAAAATCTACTTTCTTTGAGTTGAGTTCATTTTCTTCAACTTGAATTTACTTTCACTTTTTTTTTTAAAGTCACTGTCTTTTCTTTTATTCTCTTCAAGTTTTAGATGTACCCTTTGCTCTTTTCATGATTCACTGTTACTTTCACAAAACCTGTTAAACGATCTTGAGTTCCCGATGAGAATTACTATTTACAGATTTCTCGAATTGAGAATGCCAACGCAGGTAATCTCCACTTCCTGACATTTGCTTTTGGAGTGTGGGTTTGTTACATTTACGTGTATCTCCAACTGTTCTTGCTGGCCCCGATTCACATAATTACCAGGTGTGTCGATACGGGTAAGATGATTCTCTTTATTTACTGAGTGCCTGTTCTGCAACGCGAACTGTGCCAGGCACCAGAAAGAAACAGGTTCAGAAATAAGGCCTGGGTCCCCTTTTGATGCAGTTTAAAATCTAGAAGATTGGAGGGAGAAGTGCATTAAGCATGTAATTTCACTAGGTGACAACAAGAAAAAATGCAACAGTGTGCTAGGTTCTATAAAGAAAGGTACATTTTATGCTGAGACCACGTATCCAGTGGATGTAACTCAGTGGGGGAAGTAAACTTTGAGCTGAGATCTGAAGAGGGACAACCAGATAAAGGGGGCAAATTCATGTGCAAAACAGTATAAAGGGGAAAGAAAAGAGAATGTCAGAAGTCCTGAAAACAAGGCTAATTAGATTGGAGCAAAAAGCATAAAGAAGATAGCACAGAGAAAATCTGTATTCAGTATACCTGATTGAATCCAAGCCATAAAGATCACTGAAGAATGGAGAATTTTAAAGAAAAAAATTGAGACTGGCCTCGGGAGCATTTTTTATTTATGTGAGGTATACTTGTCCATGAAGATGCAAAAATGCATTCAGTAGCTATCTTTAAATTCATAATAGCTTGAGCAACTATAGGTAGACTAAGAAACATTTAAACACATGTTGAGACCAATTTCTGTAAAAATAAATTTGCCTCTATGTGTCGGAGAACCCAATTAACAAATAGGCTGTTCAGACCCGACATAGCATCTCCTGAAAGTCATCAGGGATCCAGTCTTTCACTTTTCTGCTCTGATATCCTTGGGATATGATTTTTGTCCTTCCTTATGGTGAAAAACTGTTGCTAGAGCTCCAGACATTACATACACATTCCAGGCAGTACAGTACCACCTCATTTGTAAGGAAACTTACCGAAAAATTTTCACACGATATTTCAGTGTATTTGTCATTGTTCAACTGGCCACAACAGCATAAGAACTAAGGAATGCAGTCCTTTGGCTGAGTACATTGCCATTTTGAATAAACTTGGTATTCTGACACTGAAAAGTTTGGTGAATGAATGATGATACCCACAACTATCTAATTCTGCCACAGGACTTCACAAATGTAGCACCAATACGACATTAACCTAGCTTGAGTATTGGAGATTTTAAATACTAAACTATATGCAGGCTTGAGGGAGTACAGTTTTCAACTCCTATTTTCAAGAGAAAAATAACAAGCGGAGTCACATCATGTGACCATTTAATCTTCTTTGGAGTTTATGCTCATATCTATTCCTTTTTATGGAAGGTTGACATTGATCTGGAAAATCTCTATATAGTTCCCTGTTGTGAATATCTCAACGCACTTTGATTCTTATGCAGAAAAGAACAGTGCACTTTATAGATTGTAGAGGGAATTTTTACAAGACATTTTGGGTCTATCATACCTCATTATTATGCTATTCTAATGTACTGATAAATGGAATTTATCAATAACTCACTAGTGCATACTTTAGTGGGGGATTTTATAAGTTGTTTTGGGGAAAGAGTAGTATTAGAATTGCCTACCATCTTTCAAATGAACAGCTTAAATTTGGGGGCAAATTTTATGCTGCTTTTATGTAAGCATCCTTTATAATTTTTTATTTGGGCATAAAGAGGGGATTGTTCATTGAGTATAGTGACCAGATTCAGGTATTCCACAAGCTTAGATAGAGGAAATCAGTATACATGTAAAATTAAAAGTGAACACTTGTAAGCAAGTGTAGTATGGGTTCTTATAGAAAATGCAGGTCCCCACAGTTATATGCTCTTACCTAAACACAGAGGGAGGCTTCTTTGGTCCTGTGCCAGTTATAAATGCATACAGTACTGCTAAATATGTTTGAAATTATTTGAGATTTAGGGATGAAAAATAGCACATGTAATGGAATTTGGTATGATTCATCAGAGAGTAGTCTGTACTTTTCAAGACATTTCAATCTTTTTAATCATAAAACAAGGTCAATTCATGAATGACTAGTTGAACCAACCACTGTGATCAAATGAGCTGTTCTATAGCCTAGGAACATATGCTCTGTAAGCTTCTTTCAATTTCTCTGGGGAAGTGTCTGAATCTTCCAAAAGTGTTTATGCTTTATTGTCCTGTGTGTAGATTGAAACCATAGTTTGCTAATATGCTATATTTTTTGAATAATTTCTGTGTTTATATATTGCATGCTAATACAGAATAAATTTTTCAATGAAACATGAAAATGAGACCAAACCTGAATAGCATTTTGTACATTAATGACAATTCCTTTAGAAAATTACCAAGAAGGAAATCTGCAGTATTTTACCATAATCCAAAGGACTACTCTTTTGTTACATGTTTATTTATTTTGAGAGAGAGAGAGAGAAAGTGTGAGTGGGGGAGAGGGGCAGAGAGAGTGAGAGTGAGCAAAGGAGCGAGCGAGGGAAAGAGAGAGAGAGAGAGAGCATCTTAAGCAGGTGCTGTGCTCAGCTTGCAGCCTGATACGAGATTCAGCCCCATGACTGTTAAATCAGGACCTGAGACCAAAATCAAGAGTCAGATGTTTAACGGACTGAGCTACCCATGTGCCCCCCGCCAAAGAAATACTTATTTTAACTTAGAGTATTTAGAAATTGAGAGAAAGGAGCTTGGACATGAAAAGAGGAAGGTATACAACATGTTACATTACTTAAAATTCAAGCTTTCACTTTATTTTAAAAATGTATGTTTAATTTGTATTTATTATATAAATTACAAAATTCATGCCATTTACCATCGTTTGGCTATCCTACCCCTTCTCCAAAGGGAATCTCTGGCACAGATACAAACACCAGTAGAATAATAGAGGATTGGTGTGTCTGTGGTTATGAGCACATGTGTGTTCTACATTAATAACATCATAATTTATGTAGTGTTCTGCCACTTGAATTTGTTCTACTAAAGAATACATCTTAGAGATCTTTCTACATTGTTACTTGTATCTCCTAGGAATTACCTACAGAATTTACTCATTTCTCTGTGTTTGGATGTTCAGATTATTTATTTCTTGGCTCTTAAACACTGCATGTAACACCAGCATAGGTGATTTCCTATGCACATGTGCACGCTCTAAGGTGGAAATTGAGATCACTTTTT